TAATCGAGCTCCGCGCGGAGACCAGCCCTCTAGCGGGCGGGGCCGAGAGGGGCCTGAGCAATCGATCGTCGAGAGCGGGTGGGGCGGCGCCGTGAGGGGGCGGCGGTGGGAGCCTCGGGGTGGGCCAGGTCAGACTGGGGCCAACTCTGCTTTCGCTGCCAAGAGTATTCATTCCTTACAATGCACTAGTAAAATGTTTACTAGATTTTTACTTGTCGTCAAGTTTCAGAGAAAATTTATAGTACAAATAAATAATATTTTTAACACTTTATTGTGACCATCTTATCTGGTTTCCTGAAGTAATGATCACCAAATTCTTCTGCATATAACAGATTTTCCTTGGCTGTAACTGTTTTCATTCTCCTTCACTGAACCTCATTTAGCTCTGCGATGTCCTGGCCGTGATGGAGTAAAAAATACTGTACATATACTGCCTTCAGTATGGGGCTAAATGACAACCTTGTGTAATTGACAGTCCTGCTCCTCCTCTATCCTTAATGCAATGATCTTGGCAGCCTTTTTGAATTTTATGTGCCCATGGAGCAGGGATCACAAAACCCCACACAAACTCCATTCTCGAGCAGGCTTGGGTAATGAGGAAACTCCTGAAGTCTGTGAACATGTCTAACAGTCACTGCTCTGTACATCTGAACCCACTCATTTCACCTGTCCTGTTGCCTTTTTGCCCATGTTAATTCAGGTAACCAACACCACATGTTATCATGAGACATAACTGAGATTTCCCAGATTCCTAGGGCAGGAGATAGTGGCGGTATGCTAAAACCTCAGCTTGTAGTAGTGACCAGCCTGAGTGTGGAAATCATGGGATGAGTGTGGAAATCATGGGATGCGTCCTAGGTCTAGGATAAAATGCTGCTGTAGTGATGTAAATTTGACAAGTATTGGGGGCATGCAACCTGAGTATTGCCATTTGTTAACTACTGTGAACTCTGAAGCTCCCCAGCAAATCAAAGTCAAGTCATAAATCAGTTCTAAAGCAGGAGATGTTTACTCCTACTTTAGCATACTCCTGCTTGGCCATTTCAGTTCAGTTGTGCTAGATTCCCAGCTCAGAGGTGCTGTTCCTGCAGACTAAGAGCACAGTCAACAGGATTACTTTGCACATGCAGAAACATCTGCCAAGATTTCCACAGTAATATTTTGTCATTACCAATCTGCCCTTCAGCAGTCTCCCTAAATAATTTGATATCTTCTCTGAACTATCAAGTGTTGTCTCGTTTTGTTGCATTTCATTTATTGGAAGGAAGGACTGTACAGCACAGCACTGCTTACAGTTGTATGACCTGTAATTTTCAAATCCAGTATCCATAGTAATACTTGCAGAAAAATTAAAAAAGAGAGGGAAGAGCACTTACTACACCAGATGTGGGGACAGGGTATGCTGCTTCCTCAGGTTAGCAACATGAGTAACGATCTTATTTCTTCTTTAATGCAGTGAGGAAAATAGACTGCTTGACTTTACCTCTCCTGATATACCTCCTTATTTTAATCTATTCTGCTGTATCACAATTTACACATCTGGAACAGACAGGATAGAAAAAACGCAGTGTGGTGCTATGCTGAACAGTATCTCTGTAGATAAATACAGAGTTTTGACAGTCATGGCAGCATCTGGAGGCTGAAGCTGTTATACTGTCTTTGTAAAGACTGTGCTGGAATGTGTTCTTCAAAACAGGAGCTGGAAATGCACCAGGTTCCTGTATGGTGAACATGGAGCCTTGCATGGCTTCAGTGGTATATTGTGTTTGTGAGGCAAGGTTTTGGTAGGGGGAGGGCTGCAGGGGTGGCTTCTGTAAGTTGCCAGGATCTTCCCCCATGTACAATAGAGCCAATGCCATCTGGTTGCAAGGTGGACCCACCAGTGGCCAAGACTGAGCCCATCAGTGACAGTGGTAGCACCTCTGTGATAATATATTTAAGAAGGAAAAAAACCTGCTGCACAACAGCAGCCAGGAGAGAGGAGTGAGAACATGTGAGAGAAACAACTCTGCAGACACCAAGGTCATTGAAAAAGGAGGGTGAGGAGGTGCCCCAGGTGCCAGAGAAGAAATTCCCCTGCAGTCTGTGATGAAACCATGATGAGACAGAATGTCCCTCTGCAGCCTGTGGAGGTCCACAGTGAGCAGATCTCCACCTGCAGCCCCTGGAGGACCCCACGCCAAGCAGGTGGCTGTGCCTGAAGGAGGCTGTGACCCTGTGGAGAGGCCATGCTGAAGCTGTCTTCTGGCAGGACCTTGGACCTGTGGAGAAAGTGGAGCCCACACAGGAGTAAGTTTGCTGCAGGACTTGTGACCCCATGGGGGACTCATGCTGGATCAGTATGTTCCTGAAGGACTGCATCCCATGGAAGGGACTCACACTGGAGCAGTTTGTGAAGAACTAAAGTCTGTGGGAAGGATTCACGCTGAAGCAGTTTGTGGAGGACTGTCTTACATCAGTGGGGTCCCATGCTGGAGCAGGGAAAGAGTGTGAGGAGTCCTTCCCCTGAGGAGGAAGGATCAGGAGAGACAATGTGGGATGAACTGACACAACCTTCATTCCATGTCCTCCTGTGCTGCTTGAGGGGAGAGGGAAGAGACTGTGTCACAGTCATACGTGGCACTTTCATTTTTCCATTATGTTATCCCTGAAATAATTATTAACAACAAGAAGCTTTTTGCACAGTCTTCTACAGCCCTATTACTATCTGCATAATGCTATAGTTTACTGTAGGCATCAACACACAGAGCAAATGGACCAATCTGTTTGCTGCATGAACTTGCATATATGTATGCATAGGTATCTGCATGCATACACACACATACAGAATACACAAGTATAGACCTGTGTAGCATATATGTACATCAGATTTTAATTTTATATAGGAGAGAGAAAAGCTGATTAATGCACTGACGTTGCTTCTCTGGTTACAAATTTCTGAAGCCTATTACAGTTTCCACAATTTGTACAATTCAATTTTTTCTATAGATTGTATTCATTGAATAGAGTAGGTAGGAACAAGTAAACAGTTTACAATTAGTCTTATTTTAAGAATTACTTGGAGAGATTTTTACAAAGAAGGTACTAGAAAATGCTATTTTAAAGATGACTTCTCTAAATCAGGCTATATTCCTTTGAGATATAGTTAGCTGTGATTCAGTTTCAAAATCCATGCTTAATCCAGACAGTATTTTCCCATATGTCTAATAAATATTATCAGCTGAGAAGTGGCTGAAAGGATTTCACTCAGCCAGAATCAAATACAGTCCAAATCACATATTAAAGAACAGAGTTAGAAGCAGAGCAGTCCAGCCAACAGATGTTATTTCAATGGACAGCATAAATTATACTTCTCCATGACCAGCATATGTGCCTTAAAATTCCATTTGGCTGTTCCTTATATTCAATGGAGGTTAAATCAACCCCCTTGGGAAATGGCTACTCTTGCATTCCCCCAGTCAAGTGAATGATACAAATACTCAGACATCCATTATTCCTGCAGAGGAGTTATCCCTTTCAATCTGTAGCCCTTTTTAGAGGTATGACATGGCCCTGGGTGATGGGGAATAACACAGATGTCATTTGCATCGTTCTGGTGCTTGAGACCATGCTGTCTAACTGTCTCACTTAGTGACTGAAGGTGATTAAAAGTGCTGAGAGAAAAACGGACTCTGTGGCTCTCACCAGCTCAAGATCCCTGCGGTAGACCTGCAACATGCCACCAGGGCAACATGGGGGCATTCCTTCAAGGATTCAATGCATTTTCTCACATCACCACCTATCTCACATCTAACCATCAGCATGTAGAGGTTTAGGAGTGGGGCAGGAGATCATCCAGCAATACCACCTGAGTATATTGAATTCCACCTCCTGGCCTGCATCCAGGTTGCACTAGACCTGGGATAACAGCTTGATTTAGGGGACCCTGAATTTAAACTCCTCTAGGAGTCCATGAGGGAATGAAACTTCAATCATGGATGGCAATTAACTTGACTCTATGTATCCTGAAAGAGTCTCTACAGCATGTCACAGTGTTGTCTCTGAAAGCAGAAATGTTTTCCCCCTGAAGAAGGGATCAGCTGCTTCCATCAAGAGTTGCTGGAGTTGCGCATGGGCCAAAGAAGTGCATGGATTCAGATTGATAAATACAAATAAATAATTTTGCATTTTACCAGACTTTGGGGACTACAACAAAAGGCTTTGTCACCCCTACCAGTCAACAGCTTCAGCTACCCTTGAAGCCACATTAGAAACTCATGTGATACCCATTTACATGGGATCACCTTTGCATGCTGTTTTCTTTCTCTGTTGATAAAGTGACACATGATGTGGGAAAATACACAGTAACTCTGCCCCTAGAGAGATAAATAACCTTCATGGTCCACCTTGCCACAAGGACAGCCAGGTTTCCAGATCTTTGGCCCCAGAGCAGCTCACTCAATGGAAAAATCCAGCAGTAATTACCTGAGTGCTTTACGGTAGGGTCTTATGACTGTGATGAAGCTCATCATATAAGATGAGATGGAGTTAGGTGGTGCAGTGCTCCCATCTGCCCTTTCATGAAGAATTTCACAAGACTGGAGAGAAGTGGAGAAGAGTATGGCACTGCTCCTGACTGAGGGAAAACTAAATGGTGACCTGGTAAAAATCCCAAGGAAATGGGATCACCTCTCTCCCCGCAGCTTTAGATGTAATATCTAAGTGTGCAAAATGTGTATTAAGTTCTCCTGTCTGGTCTGAATCATAAAAGTTCACCAAAAGTGCACATGAATATTAGTAGTGGGTAGAGGTTACCCACATGTTTCTAACAGCAAGAATTTATATTTAGTTATAATTTCTGGCAAAGATTTGGGTCAATTCTTACTTTTGTCACACTGAGTTCACAATCCCCTAATTTAAGGTCAAGGAAAGATTTATGTTTAATACCAGTTTAATGGATTAGAATTATAGTCTTTATATTTCCATTTTTAGTGCTTTGATCTGCTGCATTACGCAGTTCATTTGTTCTTGAATGATCATTTTTTCTGCCTCTACGAACTATGTGGCCTTCTCTGTAATATGGCAGATGTAATCTAGTGTTTTCTACTGTATATTGTGAATAAATATGCTTATTTTTGTGTATGTGGTGTTTGGTTTACATTTATTTGTGAAAAGAAGTGGAGTATCCTACATAAAGCTGTAATGTTGTGCTTCCCTTTGCAAAGCAAATTAGTTTGCTTCTTCAGTGCCAATTTCTTGTATTATATTCTTGCTGAAGGACTAAGGAAGCAGGTGCCATAAAAGGCAAAAAAACCTTCATAAGTTCCTAAAAGTCTGACTGTACTTTGTGAAGAAAACAGAATGAACTTTTTTTTTTTATCTGACAGTACAAATTACAAGCTGCTCTGATTTTAAGTGGTGTGATAGCAAGACAAGCCCCCAGGTGGCATTCCAACCTTGTTTTTCTAAATCATTTGTTTTCATAAGGAATAGATCTGATTCTTTTGTTTAAAAAGAAATTTTCTTCACTCTCATGGTAGATTTGAACAAAGAAATTAAAGCTGTACGCCAATCTTTTTTTTTTTCTTTTTCTTTTTTTTTTTTTTTTAAGTTTCCAATTTGTATATGTTTTGGTAATTCAAATGTAGTAGCTTCAAACCCAGCTTGAAATCTGATAGACATTTAATGGAATCATGTAAATTATACTATATTCCAGATATTAAAGTCCTTAAGATAATGATGTCCTGCAACAGCTATTCAATAAAAGATACCATTCAAATTTTAAAGATCACAATTACAGTAAAATTAGTTACATTTCAACAACTTTATGAGAAATGTGTAAATCCAATTATGACTAATACCTTACAACACATGGGTATTAACTGATGCTGGGTCATGATGAAATCCAAGCAGAATTCAATATTATGGCTACATGATACCAAAGTGATTCTGGTGGAATTTCTATTTCCTTCCAGGAGTAACAGGTAGAGCTTTGCAAAGATCACGACTTGCACATCTTAACAGGCACCCAGTTTAAGTGCTGAGGTGGTGGATGGTTCATCT